GGGGGGGTCGTGTAATTTTGGGGGGAGCGGGCAGTGTGGGGGGGGATTGCCTTTGAGCGGGGCCGCTCGGCATGGGGAGGGTCGCGCCGTGCGGGGAGGTGTGGGGAGGGAGGGTCCGTGGGAGTCCTGGGGCAGCGGCCGGGGGTCGCGCGGTGCCGGGGGGGCAGTTGCGGGAGGCACCGCCGGGGGCTGCGGCCGCCCCACGTTGGCCGGGCAGGGGGCGAGGGGGCCGCGGCCGTGGGCGCTGCTCCCCCTCCGCCCGAGGAAGCGCCGTCTGGCAGCTGCGGGGGGGGACGGCGGGGTGCGAGACGGAGCCGCGCGGATCGGGCGCGCGTGGGCGGCCCCGGACTCGCGCGGGTCCCGCTCCCCTCTCCCCCCCGCCGGGGCTGGGGGCGCGGAGCCCGGAGCGACCCGCGCGGCGCCGCCGGGCAGCGGGCGCTGGAGCTGCCCCATCCCTGTCCCGAGCGGGCGCGGGCTCAGCCCGGCCCCGGGGGGGGACCTCTTCCCAGCCTGTTCTGGACCCCCCTTACCCTCGTCCCCGGGACGAAGTGGGGTGGGGGGGGCGCCCCGAGACCCCCCGGTCTCCACAGAGGCCCCGGGGACCCCCTCGGTGCTGGGGGGCGCCGAGGCCGCTCGCGTCGCGCCCCCCCCCGCGCCGTGCCCCCCCTGTTGCTCCCCCCAGCCGCGGCGGGGGCCGGGGGGGGCGGCCTCATCGCCTCGTGGCTCGGCTTTCCTGACACTCCATTTTTACTTTCCGTGTTTCATGAATAAAATCAAACGAGTCAATTCCCCCGGGGAATTGGATGCACATCAGGGACCCCCCCGCGCAGCCCCCCCGGCCGAGGCTGTGGCAACTTGTCTGCCCTCCCCGCGCTCGTAGGTGGAGATAGGGCCCAAACGCCCGTGTGTGCGTGGGGGGGGGGTCCTCCCCGCGACCCCCTCCCCGCGTCCAGCGAGCGCAGAGCATCTGTCGGCGCCGGAGCCGCTCCAAGACAAATGGGTTTGTTTTGATGGCAGCGGGCGCAGGGCGCTGCCCCGGCCCCCCCGCTGCCCGCACGGAGGAGCCGCCGGGGGGGCTGCGACCCCCGTGCCCCCCTCCCGCGTTGCGGGGCCGGGCCGGTCCCGCCAGGAAAAACTTTGCAGCCGGGAGCGGGAGCAGCTGCGGGGAAGGGTGGGGGGCGCAGATCCCACCCCCCATGTTTGCAATGGTCCCCCGGGGGCGGGGGGGGCCCGCCTGTGCGGGCAGATCCTTGTCCTCATTGAGGACAAGGGGGGCCAAGCTCAGCCCCCCGGCACCCAGTGCCCCCCGCCCGGGCTGCCGCCCTGCCTTGCTGCATCACCTTGTTTTTGTGCATTGCCGGATAGAGCCGGGGAGGGGGGGTCTTGGCATGGAGCTGGGGGGCCGAGGCTGCCCCCCCGGGGCTCTATTTTCCAGGAAACTGCACCCGAGTTTCCCTGTTCCGGGTGGGCATGGGGGGCAGCCAGAGTGGCCCTGATGGAAGTGCCCGCTCCCCAAAAATCGCCCTTCCCAGGGGCGTCCCCGGGGTGGCAGCCGGGGCCCCTGGGGCAGCGGGCTGGCAGATGGCCCTGCCGCAGGCAGCTGCGCTGGCCCCTTAGGTGCCAGCTCCTGTTATGGGGTGAATTTAACCCTTTCCTGGCACAGGGAAGTGTGCCCCCCACCCCAGGGTGTCCCCACATTGCAAGGGACAACTGAGAGGTTCTTCCCTGCTGCTCTGGGTGCTGGTGTCAGCATCGGCCACCTCTGCTGCCCGGCTGCATGCCCAGGGTTCCCTCCATTCTCAGGACACCTTGCCCCCTGTCCCCAAGGCCAGCGGCGCCGTTTCAGGGAGGTGGCAGCGCCCGCGCACCTGGGCCCTGCCTGAGGGCACCTTGCGGCTGATGCTCGTCCCCGGCCGCAGCATCGCAGCTCGGTGCCAACTGCAGCGGTGCCAGCGCCACAGGGCCACGATATCCCTGTCCCCGTCTTCGGCTGCAGGGCGGCCAGGGACAGCGGTGCCAGGCGGGCACCTCTCCTGTGCCAGGATCAGGACTCAGTGCTGTCCCGGAGAACCAGGGCCGACCACCCTCACCCTCCTGCGCCTGGGGCTGGTGCAGCCGCCCCGGGTCCTGCGTGTGCCCCGTGGGCTCCGTGCCCGGCTGAACCACAGCAGCGCGCGCCGCCGGGCCCGGCGCCTCATTTCCCCTGCTTTAATAACCTGTCCCCGTGCTGCCCTTTGCTCCCCACGCGGGCACATGCAATAACCTACAGCCAGCAGCTCCGTGTGGCCCGCGCCGGGGGGGACAGCCCGCCGGCCCCGCTCTCCCCGTGCCGCAAACCTGGGTGTTTGGGTCAGGGCGTTTGGGCGTTTTGGGGCGTTTGGTGGCGTTTGGGAAGAGGGGGGCGGCAGCCACCGCCCGGCTCAGCCTCCGTGCTCAGGCGCCGGAGCAAATGGCCCGGGAAAGATGGAGCTTCCTTTGCCGCCACTCCGATGCTGCCGGAGGAATGAGTGCGTCCCCCCTGCTGCATCCAGACCGCCCCCCCCCGGCTTTCCCATGGCAAGCAGGGAGCAGCACCGGGGCTGCAGCACCCATTGCACCAGCCGGGCATCACCCCCTGTGCCGCATCTGCCCCTGTAGGTAGCAGCCTTGCTCCCCTATGGGGTGCCCTACATGGTGCCCCCCCAGCCTTGACACCGGCTCCAAGCGAGGGGTGCGCGATGCAGCAGCTTGGGGGGGGGGGGGGGKSGGAAARGAAWTTTTTKAACCCSCCTGATAAGATYTTATAAAATTTCCCGGGCACACTCGAAATTACATTTCCATAGCTCAGGAGAAGCGATCTCCTCGCGCGCCGATACCTGCCACTTTTATGGCTACATTTATTGCAATAATAAAGCGGAGCGGGGAGGCGCCGCGGGAGGCGGCGGGCGCTGGCGATCAGGGGGCTACAGGGGGCACGGAGCTGAGCCCGGGCACCCTCCCAGGGGCCCTCTGCTTGCATGCACATTGCACATGCCCTGTGCATGCAGCGTGTGCCCCTTGCACCCGGGCACCGCTTGCAACCTGCTCGCGCGCCCCTCGCCCACTGCTCCCCCTCGCCCCCTTCCCGCTCCGCTTCTCTCCTCATTTCCCCATTCAGTCTCCTTTCTTCCTCCAGCCCAATGAGTCACACAAGCCCTGGATCCTTCGCCTGGTGCCGGCTCCTCCCTTCTATTATATTTTTTTGCCTTTGCTCTTAACAGCACTTTTCTTGGCCACCTGCGGGGGGAGGCTGGGGGGCCCATCCTCTGCTCCCCCCCCTAGTTCCTGCCTCACTACGAAGCCCTTAAAAATAATAAATAACTAAAACAGCAGCAGAGAAAAGAAAAGGCAGGAAACGAATGACAGGGAAAAGGAACCAAAAGGAAGGAAAGAAGAAGAAGAAGCAAAAAAAAAAAAAAAAAAAAAACCCGAAGTCCTACTCGGGCTATGAAATATTTATCAGCAGGCGCGTGCCGAGCGCGTTAATAAAGCCGCTGCATTTGCATATGTTCCCCGCGCGCGGAACAGGGGTCTGCTCGGGGCGAGGGCAGCGCTCCGCACCCCGGGGAGCCGCACGGGCAGCGCGGCCGCCCCGCGGAGCCGCGTCCCGGGCAGCGCCGGCCACAGCGGCCGCCCGGCTCCGCTGGCGTCCCTGGTGTCCCCATGGCGGGTCAGGCCGTTGCCCTGGCACCGAGGAGCCGTCACCGCAGAGTGGCCTCCTGGGGACTTTCATTAGCGGCCTGCCACTCATCAGGCCCATCTGCGCGCGGAGCCGGGCAGGCTGGGCGCGCGGGCACGGCGTCGGAGCAAGGAGAGCCCTGCGGGTGCAGCGCGCCCTGCGCGCACGTGCATCCCCCCGCGCGTGCATCCCCCCGCGCGTGCACCTGCATCCTCACGTGCACACGCACCTCGACATGCATGCGCCTCCTCACGTGTGCGTGCACACACAGAGCCCGGGAAGCAGAGGCAAACCTGCAAAGAGAGACATGCAGCGCCGCGCCGCGCGTGCACGTAGCCCTGCATTCGTGCACGAGGTACCTGGCGAGCCGCTCGCGCGCCCGGCAGGCGCGTGGGCAGGTGCGCAGGCATTTGGAGCGCGCGCTCGCAGCTGCAAGCCTGCAAGCCGCCTGCACCGGGGCTCTCGTGGCACCCTTGCATGGTGCAGACGCACCGCGCACCTCGCGTTGGTGCATGCCCGGGTGCCTCCCTTGCAGCCCGGCCGAGCCCCGCGCTGCGCCGCGGCGCCGCATTAGCACCCGCGCGGCACCGGCGAGATAAATGGGAGCTGTCACAAGCACCTTGTTTGCTGCTAACCTTTGGAAATGCCACACCGCCCCGGGCTGTGCCGCACGGGGGGGGGAGTTGGCCCGCGGGGATTGTCACTCACCGCGTCCAATTAATCTCCCTGCTCTAACGAAGGGGCTGGAGTGATGGGGGGGGGACGCTGGCGTGACCCTGTGCCTGTGGGCAGAGCTGCAGGCCCTGGGCTGGGGATCAGCGTGGGCTCCAGCACCCTGTGCTGGGACAAGGGTGCTCAGAGAGGCCGGAGTGCTCGGGAGAATGGTGCTGCCTGGGGTGCTCGTGGGGCTCAGGGTGCAGAGGATGCTGATGGAGATGAGGATGCTGAGGTGGAGGGGATGAAGGCAGGAGATGCTGAAGACTTTGGGGGAGATGTGGATGCTAGGGGAGATGTGGATGCTGGGGTAGAGGAGGATGCTGGGGGAGACAAGGATGCTGGGGGAAGTGAAGAACGTGGGGTAGACGAGGACGCTGGGGGAGATGTGGGTATTGGAGGAGATGAGGATGCTGGGGGTGATGAAGAATCTGGAGTAGATGAGGATGCTGGGGGAGATGTGGGTGCTGGGGGAGATGTGGATGCTGGAGGAGATGTGGGTGCTGGAGGAGACCAGGATGCTGCGGGAGATGAGGGTACTGGGGGACATGCAGAGGAGGATGTGGGGGCACTGGGCTTGCTGGGGCAGTGGCTGGGCAGGACAGGCTGCTGCGGGGGAGCTGCTGCCGCTCTTGTCCTTGGGTGGCTGCGGGGGCCGCGCTGTCAGTCCCCCCCTCTCTGCGCCAAGGTGACCCGGCCCCGGGGGAGCAGCTGCCGGCGCTCGGCCCTGCCGCAAATGGGAGGTGAAGCGGCCGTCACCGCTGCCCTGACGAGCCCGATCGATGGCGCCGAGCGGCTCCCAGCCCCTCTGCAGCCCTTCCCAGCCCCTCACACCCCCACGGCGCTGCACGGGGCCCCAGGGATGCATTGGGACCGTGCACACGTGTGGTGCCCACGCATGCATGTGGGGTCCATGCACATGTGTGGGGTCATGCATGTAGTGGGGGTCCATGCACACGTGGAAGGTCCATGTATGTGTGTGGGATCCATGCACGCATGTGGGGTCCATGCACGTATGGGGTCCATGTACATGTGGAAGGTCCATGTATGTGGGTGGGATCCATGCACGCGTGTGGGGTCCATGCACGTGTGGGGTCCATGTATGTGTGTGGGATTTGTGCACGTGTGTGGGGTCCATGCACATGTGGAAGGCCCATGCATGTGTGTGGGATCCATGCATGCATGCAGTCCATGAATGTGTGTGGGATTCGTGCACATGTGTGGGGCCCAGGCACCCGTGTGGGGTCCATGCACACATGTGGTGTCCGTGTAAGCACGGGGCAGTGGGCAGCATCACTATTATCGTGCAGGGCAGCAGGACCTGCCCTGGGCAGCTCTGCTCTGCACCAGGAGGGTCCTGCCGCCTCCTCGGCCCCTCATCCCTCTGCTCTGGCCTCTCATCCCGCTGCTCCCGCCGGATCGATGCCCCCGGCGGCGCGGGCGCCTCGGCCCTGCTCTGCCATTCCCTTTCATGTGCGGCTGCCCGGCCCGGAGCGGGAGCTCCGTGTGTGCCGAGGGCAGGAGCAGCATTCGGAGCTGGAGCTAGATCCGTAGCCCTTGGTGACCCACTGAGCTGGCACCAGCAGCCCCTGCCCCAGGATCCCCCATCCCGCTGCTTCCCCCATTGCCTCCCCGTTCCCATCACTTCCCCTTCCTCACCGCATCCCTGTGCTCCTCCGTTCCACCCGGCTTCCCCGGCCCCACGATTTTCCCACTGCATCCCCATCCCTGGCACATCCCTCTTGCCACCCCCCCCGCCATCCCATTCCCTTCCTCCTTCCTCATGCCCATCCCTACCAGTTCCCCATTGCATCCCCATCCCTATCAATTCCTCATCGCATCCCCATCCCTATCAATTCCCCACAGCATCCCCATTCCTACCAGTTCCTCATTGTGTGCCCCTCCCTATCCTTATCAATCCCACACTGCATCCCCATCCCCATCCCTATCAATTCCCATGGCATCCCCATCCCAATCACCTCCCCATTCCTGCTGCTTTCTCACTGCATCCCTGCACTCACCCCTCACAGGAGAACCCGAGGGGGGGTCTGTGAGTGGCACCCACCCCACGGGCACCCCCTCTTCCACCCAGCCTCATCCCTTGGGACCTGCCGCCCCCCCCCAGCGGGGCCAGAGGAGCCGGGGGGGCAAAGCCCCCCCCCCAGCTCCCTCCTCCGGTCTCCCGCGCTCGGCGCCCGGGAAGGCGCCTGGCTTTGAAGCTGCCTTGAAATATAGATAAGGGCGAAGGCAGCATCGTGTCGGGAGCGCGGCGGAGAGGGATGCGGGGGGGCCCTGGCCGCGCGGCCCCCCCACAAACTGGTCTCTTCCCAGCCCAGGGTCGGCTCGTGCCCCCCCCCAAGGCCCAGCGCATGAGCCCTGACACGCTCGCTGCAGCAGTGGCCACACACGGGCCACGCACCCGAGCGCATCCCCCTGCTCGGGGTGCAGCCCCCGCTCCCCCCATCCCCTCCTCCGTGGGGCTGGGGGGGCTCAGGGAGGGGGAGCCGCAGCCTGGACCCCCCCCCCGGCCCGGTGCAATTACGGCCGCGGGCGGAGCGGCCCGGCGGGGACCCCGGTAAATGCGGCACCACATCAGAGGCCCCGGCTAATGCAATTAGGCTGCCCCGGCAGGCGGCGGGGGGCTCGCGGCCCCCCCAGCCCTGCATTTTAATGGGGCTCAGCTGTGCCGGGCGGGCGGTAATGAAGCTCCTGTTCCCGTGTCACAGGAATGGGGGGATCGGGGCTCGTTGGGATCCTGGCGCTGGATGCAGGTGCCACGGGTGCACCTGGGATGCAAAGGGGTGCACGGGGGCGCCATGGGGCGCAGGGGGGGACACCCGTGGACCTACCCGGGCCCCCCCTCGCACGGTCTCTGCCCTCTTCCCCGCGCAGATGCTCTGTGCCGAGGGCCACGTGGCCAAGAGCCTGGGCTACGTGGAGCTGGGCACCGCCGGGCTCCTCAAGGACGTGCCCTACGGCAGCCTGAAGCCGCCGGCGCTGGAGCCCGGGCGGCTGCTCCCGGGCGGCGCCGGCACCGCCGCGCTGCCCGTGGCGCCCTGGGACTGGCCCAGCAACCGGACGGCGGGCGGGGGGCCGGGCGCCCGGCGCAAGCCCTCGCTCAAGGCCGCCCGCGCCAAGAAGATCTTCGGCTGGGGCGACTTCTACGTCAACATCAAGACGCTCAAGTTCAGCCTGCTGGTGACGGGCAAGATCGTGGACCACATCAACGGCACCTTCAGCGTCTACTTCCGCCACAACTCCTCGAGCCTGGGCAACGTCTCGGTGAGCATCGTGCCGCCCTCCAAGGCCGTGGGCTTCGAGGTGCTGCTGCCCGCCCTGGCGCGCCCGCCGCCCCCGCAGAGCACCCTGCCCCACGGCCGCCCCAAGGCACTCAACTGCCACGTGGAGTACGAGAAGACCAACCGGGCGCGCAAGAACAAGCCCTGCCTTTACGACCCGTCCAAGGTGTGCTTCACGGAGCACATGCAGAGCCATGCCGCCTGGCTCTGCGCCAAGCCCTTCAAGGTCATCTGCATCTTCATCTCCTTCCTCAGCATCGACTACAAGCTGGTGCAGAAGGTCTGCCCAGACTACAACTTCCAGCACGACAACCCCTACTTTGGTTGAAGGTGCCCATGGGCAGCCGACGCGCGGGGCTGGCAGCAGGTTTCGGGGCACGGCAGGGAGCAGGCGCATGCAAGGGGTGCAAACACATGCACGCAGCAGGCTTGGAGCCTTGTGCATCTCCACGCATGCACGCGCAGCTGCTCCATGCAGGTGCATGCATGTGTGCCCGTGCTCGCCTCCACATGCACCGATGCATCCGAGTGCAGGAACCCTGTGCATTCCGGCCGCCCGCGCATCCCAAAGTGCCGGCCACCCCTCCTTGGCCGGGAGCACTCAGGCCGGGCTGGGGAAGCTGGGGTGCAAGACCAAGACCTCCATAGAGCCCCCCCTTCCGCTGCTGTCAGGCAGGAAAGCGCCCAAAGGAGCAGCTCCCCGCCCCAGCCTGGAGCACAGGGAGGCACCGGGGCGGACCGGGACCAGGACCAGGACCGGCACCGGCACGCGGGAGCCCTCCCACTGCGGGACCCACCGCGCTGCCCCCTCCCGTCCCCTCTCCCGCCCCCTCGGCTCCGGGCAGCGGCTGCTTCCTATTTTTGTAAGAAAACCCAAATGAAGAAGTGGAAAATTTAAAAAAATAAATCAAAAAATAACAGGTGTAAAGCTGATCCCATAGCTGATCCCGCAGCCCCAGCGGCCGCCCCGGGGCGGGCGCCGGGCCGGGTCCTCGCGCGCCGGGGC